GAAATGGAGAACCTTCGTAAAGTAACAGCAATCCTCCAACATTATTTGCCATATATTAAGGCATGCAAGGAAGTATCAGACTCAGAGGGCTTAGACTTAAATTATCTCTTCTCTCTTGATCTCTGTGCAGGAGGTTGAACCTTACATGTTAAAATACATTGTTTCATCCACTACAGATTTACAGTAAACAATAATTCCCTCAGGAAATAAAAATAAAAATGCAGAGCTCATCTCAGTACCCAGAAATCATGATTTTAATTTAGGCTCCTTAGAAAAAATATTCAAAAATCAATATAGTCTCATCACTGAGTATCGCTGTCATTACTGAAAACAAAACAAAATATATATCTGTGCAGTGCAATGAATCACCCAGGTGGGCTTAAAATCGCAGCTTCCTCTGAAGAGTAAAATGAACGAGCCCATCCTGCTTCCTACCAACTACGGCTGCTTTTCATCCTCACTGTTCTCAAAAGCACAGCTAGATGAACTCACACTAGCATGGCTGAACTGCATTTTCTCCCTCTTTGCCAGCTTACTGTCTGACAAAGTATCCCTTCTTTCTGTATTCATAATGTCATCCTAACCAACACTGCAACCATGTTAATGTATTTGCAGAGAGACATACTCTACAGAAGCTTTCAGCCTTATAACTCCCTCAATAGTTTGAACGGATTGCATGCATTTTACTTGAGAGGAGGGGAATAAAGAGAAACATAGAGACTTTGTGCCAGACATACAATATGATACCCAGGAAGTGGTATCAGTATCTGAGAGTAGGCGTCAGATCCACCAAAAAAGAATACCCCACTGAGGAAATGATACGTTGCTAGTATTTCAACTGAGTAAACATTCATTAATAACTTTATAAGAGCAAACACTTTTCCTGACTACAAAAGAGAACTCCACCATGAAGATTCCAGCCTTTCGGCTCTTGACAAAAAGGAAACTTCTAATAGTTTGGCAACGGCATGATCACTGAAAGAGACAATTTGATGACATCACTGCACTGAGATCCCAAACAGAAGGGCATGTCTCCAGAGGAAACATCTGGAAAGATCAAGGGCTTTTTAGCTTGTTTTTTCTGGAATCCAAAACCTTTCAAGCCTACCTTCTTCTCATAATTAGGCAAAAGTCTTCTTAGCAGGTGACTAATTGTCCCAAAAAATACAGCCTCCATTGTATTTGTTGAATAAACATATCTGTTACAGATACACGTGATATGTGAAAATCTGCCAGAGATAAACGTATGCCAGGGAAATTCCTTTGTTATCAGAATTATTTAATATTAAAATCAAAGGGTACTGTCTGAGAAATTGAAACCAAATTGATTTCGTTTTCTAAAATTCAAGGCTTACTTGTCTAATTACCCTGCCTTGGTCCAAGCTTGGGAATGTTTAATAAGTTGTGGAAGAGACAGCTGGAAGCATATTGAGTCTTTGAAAACTACACATGAAGCAAAGGCAGACAAATTTCTCAAACTTCACAGTGTTCACTTTTCAAATGAAATTTAGTTCAGTGCTGGCTTACAGCTGTCCCCAGATGTCAGTAGGCTGACCTCTCTGCAAGAATTTCCTCTGATAAAAATCTCATGTCATTTGCTAACGTTTCTCACAAGAACCATAAAAATTTAGTTGTCCCTGCTGACCAGGAGCTCCAGGACACATCCATTGCTGTCAGAATGGAGACGGTCAGAACATCAGGTGAACAACCTGCTACCTTTCTATAGTGATTCTCACTGATACGACCAGAAAAAACACCTTGTTCTTAACTCTCACCGTGCTTGGTAATGGCACCAGGGGTTGTCAGCAGAATACAGTGAACACTTGGCATCTCTCAGACCTGCTGCAAAATGATACCAACTCAGACCAATTACTCTTTTAAACTATCTCCCCACTCTTGAGAGTTTACCCTGTAACCTGATTTGAGGGGGAGTGCAGCCACTGAGAAAGAGAACTTCAAACATAAACTCATCATCTCTGCTGTCATACAAGGGAAAGGCATACATCCAAAGGAATAGGAGAAATTTTAGAACAGAAATAACTGTTGTAATGAGTGGGAAAATATGGATTATTAAACTGTATAAGAACAATATTTCCAAAAAAGCAGGAACTCCACGCACAGCTGGAATTCATATGTAGAGTTAGCAAGTGCTTGGGGAAGTAGCCATGTTCTGGGGAAAATTTCATTATACAAATATGAATCTACACTGTTTCCAGTAGATTAAAATGTTTAGACATAACACCAGTCACTGATTCATGCAATATTTGCTCAGAATATTATGTTTATTTATAATTAATATAGTTTATAATTAAAGAAAGCTGTGGAATTTGTGAGTAAACATTGCCTTTGTAGGAAAAGGCAGTAGAGTTTGGATTTTCCTGTGTACACATAAAGGACTGTTCATTGCTTCTTATTGTTGTTATCTTTGCCAAAACCAGCAATAACATAATCAGTCCCACTTAAAAAGCATGTATTCATCTTGCATACACTCATCATTCTTTCAGTGACATCTTTACTAAGGAGCAAGCATTATCCCACAGAAAATGACTTTCCAAAATGGGCCTGCAGGGACTATAAGAAAATTAATACAATGTTTTGCATCATCAAATAAAATTAAGTAACACTGTAGGTGACTTTGTTATATAACATTATAGTCTAGCGCTACCAATTTCTGAAAGTGGTGTGCTGCATCAATGTTCTGTCAATGGGAAAACAACCAGGAATAAGGATGCTGAAAAAAATAAACAAAATAGAAACTACGAGCCTGGATTCAAAACTACTGGTCTTGGTAATATTCTATATGGCAGCAGCCCTAGAATTCCCCTAAGAAACAGAATATGGATATAGAAGTCTGAAAAGCATACATTTTATCATATTTAGAATGTTGCTTGGTAGTCGAACAAAGACGCACTGTGTTGCCCACAACTGTGAGACTCCTAACTGAAATAGTCTATGTGCCAAAAGCTTTCAATGTTGCTAAGGAGGACAAAATGGGGCACGCTTAAATTTATGAATAAATGTGTGCTACTAGTACCGATGCCTCCAGTATGCTTCAGGACTTACTTTCACCCATTGACCAGTCTGCTGATCAAATCTGCAGAGTCATTATGTCCATGAGGTAATTTTAAAATAGTAATGGTAATAGAAGCAACACGTTCATCACTAGGAAATCCACTGTGATAATACTAAGGAACAGTTTACAATTCAAGGTGATTCTTTAATAAACTGTCACCTATTCAGACAATTATTCTGTAGTAAGCCCTCACTCCTCAAGCAACAGACAAAAAGTTTGCTGCCCTCAGTACACTCTGCCCTTCTTTTCAAATGAACAGAGTAACAAAATACTTTTCATCATACATCTCACAAGAAGGAACAGTTTAAATAGCCTTTTAAATAGCTCCCAGAGTAGAACACTTATGACAGTACAGCGTTTAAAACATCTGTTACACTTCTCTCAAAGCCAAAAATGAAAGTACAAAAATAACAGGAACCAATCCACATGACAGTGTCAAACATACCCATAGTATAAATCAACAGCATCGTCCTGTCTTTTATCCCAGGCCTAGTACACCTCCAAATGTATCTCATGTGGGTTACTTCAAAATATTTATGAAAAAAGACAGGCTTACCATGTTGCTGAAGGGCATTCTTCCATTGCATCTTTGGCACAAGCTGAAGGCCAGGTCCCTGCACACAGAAAAATCTGGTCCATCACTGTTATGTCCAAACAAGGAAAGAGGCAGGCTGCAAGTCCTACCTGAAAGGTAGCAAGCACCACCCCCATTAAGAGTTCACAGTAATACTGGCATACAGCTGCAGAAGTGATTTTCCATTATCTCAAGGGTAAGGGACATAGGAAACAATCCATACCTGGCCTTAGTTAATGTTTTCAAAATACACATACCCCTCAGTGTTCAAGGCTTCCTTGGAAGTACAGCTTTTCACTGAAATCTATTTAATTAAGAAAAAAAATAACTTCCATGAAGAAAATGTTTATCTATTACCAGTGGCACAAATTTTAACATAGTCAATGCTGTAATTTTCAACTCTTTCTGGAAAGCAAGTCAGACAAAACCATAGTCAGAAGGCCACCTCCCTGCAGGAAACGTGTTTTAGTGCTAGTGGTGGCAATGGTGATGAGGAGATAGTTGGACTAGATGATCTTGTAGGTCATTTCCAACCTTGTTATTCCATGATTCAGGCAGAGGTGATGCAGAACTCAACCGAAGGATCAAATGGGTCAGGTTTCAGGCAGCTCACAGTAAAGTCTTCATTCTTTTCTTCTTCTAAACAGCATGCATTTAGTCTCTTAGATAGAAGGAAATCTGTTGCTCTTCAGTTTGCTGGCCATCTAAGAAGAGTCTGAGAATGACTTAAATTGATGGAGAGATTCAGATCTTTAACAAGAGAGGAAAGAGGCAGCCCAGCTAACGCATACAGATAACCAAGTGCTCAACATTTGCCTGAAGAGTTCTGACAATATTTTCTCAAAACATATCTGCAGGGTTTCTTCTGGTTCTGCTGTTACTGCATGTCTCTGAACACACTTTTGTGGTAACTGGTTATGGAAGAGGCCTATGTAATTCAAAGTCATTGTGTTAAATAAGGGAATGAAATTATCTGGGAAAAAGTACTGTACAGAAAGATATTTTTCTTCTGGGTTTCTCCAAATTAGAGTTGGTTTTGATATGGCCAGGAATGTGTGAGGTCAGCTTCATCTGAAACTTGTCAGCTGTCCAGATGTAAAGCCTAAATCAAATCCGGAGCAGACTACCTCATTTCTTGCAAAGCTGTTTGTCTTACAATCATTTTCTTTTCCTCTAGACAAATATCTTAGAAGTCAGTAAGTTTTTTCCTTATAAAACCCAAGATAAGAAAGTTCATGCTCATGCCATCCTCTGCTCTTCTCTGGAAGAGCGTAGTGTTTGGTAGTGCACAGATTCAACTCACGTAACAGTTCCAGGACTTGAATAACATTCAATTTTTTTGATCCCTGACAGCTCGAGGTGTGAATTTTCATGAGGGCCACAGAGATCGTTCAATCACACAATGCAACCTCCTCTGCGACATAGGCCAAACATTTCATTTAGCTAGAGGTCCAAAATTCTTGGTCAGCTCCAAAATAGATGCAGAGAAGAAGAGAAATAAAGGGTGGCGGCTGCTGCTGCTTGTGGATGTAGGGGCATGAGGCAGCTACGGGCATCTGACAGCAAATCCCAAGGCACTGAGAAGGTTGAATGAAAGGAAAGAAAAGAAAGGAAAAGAGAAAATGAAAGGTAACTGTGTCTAAAATTGACTCTACTGTTACTCATCTAATTCTCCTCCTACAGTTGCACTGAAATAATCTTTCCATCTCTCAACTTCCTTTTAATTTCACCCAAAATATCACTTCCCCTGTTCTCAGCCCTTCATCCCTTTTTCCTCTTCCGCTGATTTCACACTCCCCCTTTTTTTTTCCCCTCCCCCTCTTGCTGAATAAAATTGGAAGGCTCCAGCATCCTCTGGGTAGAAAAATTCAAATAGGACTACTCAGCTAGAAAGGCTTTGACTGCCTCTGCCAGCCAGAAGTTTCCTAGCATAAGAGCCCCGATTAATGTGATACTTAGAAGTCAAACATCATTCATACCTACATTTTCAAAATAGATCTAAAAATAGTAACAGAAGTTGTTATTATGCTTCCACAGCAGAGATGTTCCCTAATTTTCCATAATTACAGCTAAGCCTCATGCACAGAGGATATAATTAGAAAAATAAAAACGTTTGTTGAAGCATTCAGTTGGTAGGCCTAAAATTGTAGTTTTAAGCTGTATGCTTGTGATTTCTAAAAATTACAAGCATCGGTTCTTGTAACAGGAAGTACTTTTATACAGGAATGTCAAGTCAGTTCTATATTGGAAATTTTTTTTTCTGGAATGCAGAAACAAGAGATTGCTACTGTGCCTATTCACTGTTAATGTCAGCAGAAACTGATGCTGACTTCAAGCAGAGCTGGTACAAACTCTGCAACTGAAAGAAATCCATTGATATAATTAGATTCCTCTCTAATCTGCTCAGAAATGAATTTGTGCTTTATTGAATGAAATAGAAAAAAGCATTTCACAAATATGTTTGGTGCCTTACTACTGCCCTTTCACATATAATTAATCATCCTCTGTATTTTTCAAAGGAAGAAATTACACGTGTGAGAATGAGAATTTGGAATTTGAGATAGACTCTACCACAATATATATAGCCAGGCTGGTTCTCATCTTTATTCAAATCATTTCACACTACTCTTGACAACCCTCATAATGACTGAAAACTCCTTGAAGCCACACTGCTTGTGCTGTTCGTCCAGTGTGAAGTTAGATATCAATTGGATATTTCTCCCAGAATTTTAGAGATAACATGGCTAAATTACAGCATCAGTGATAAATTGTGTGAATTAGGAAACTACCTTTGTGGTGAAGAAACATGAGCTCCCAAATCAAGTTTATTCACATCTCCTTCATAATTGAAAAACATATCCACAGCACCATAGCCCACAAACATATAGAGGCTCTTTGCATTAGTAGAATTTTGAAATCAGATAAATTAATCATAAGAAGAAAAATCTAGAGCTTAAAGTATCCTCTTGGAAAAAAAATGATAATAATAAAAAAGACAAAAGTCTCCACAGGAAGAGCGAGTAATGGATATCTGGAAAACTCAGTTGGTCCAGCAGAACAAGATAAGGCAACTCAATACTACAGAGTTAACTAAGGTACAGTTGACCTTCACCTACAAAGCAGACAGAAGTTCAGTTCAGCTGGAATTTAAACATCAGTCATAATTTTCTTTTGTTATATGGATGCTCCAGAAACTCTTGTAGGTCTAAAGACAACGAAAGCTCAAATAAAAGCAGTCACATTATTTGCATACAATTAAAAGGAATGAGTAGCTATCAGCCTACTCAGAACCTCTGTATTAGCAGGTCCTCCAAAATCCTGCCCTTAGTCCCTGTACAGCAATCTCTGTGGTACTGAAAGATGGAAGCCATCTCTACAGTTAATACTATTTTCCAGGCTACGTTTGCTTGAAGCTTATTTCAGTGCCAAACCCCCATCCAATATTAAAGCACATGTAATTGCTCAGCGGGACCTGAATTCAGTGCAGTGTTTAGTGGCCCGAGTAACTCTCTCCCACTGCATTACTGTATATATTCCCTGATGAAACAGCAAACCACTTTTCTAGACTTCACCTTATCAAACTCTAGTCTCAGTCTCACAACTCATGACAGGTTTAAACACTATATGTTGCCTCAGCCAAATGCGAGAGCCACTTGCTTTCAGAGATCCCAGTTTTTGCTTGATCTTTACAACATTACAGGATCCAGCAAGAAACTTTGCTTTCCCAGCCCTACTTGTTCAAACACTGACCCTGATCTCAGCTTTATATACACTGCAGATAGCTCAGTGTTTCCAAAAAACAATAATAGTCTTTGTTCTTGGGTGATCAGGATCCCACTCTACCTCTGATCTGACAATATCCAGCAAGAAAATACCTCACTGCTTGTTTGCTTCAACAGCCTCTCTAACTCCAACCCTAACTTACCCATCTCCACAACCAGAAATTATCATTTCAGTCATTACCAGATGTAAATAAAATACATCCTGCAGCAGTCTGTCAGCTCTTGGTTTCTATTGTTTCCACCAGTAAATCTTCCTCCGAATCCCCAGAGAAATCAAACATTAAGCCTAATCCCAAAAGCCTACCTCAAATTCTAACACAGATATCCCAGCCAGCAATTGAATATGACGCAAGCCATACTTTCCCAGTGGTTCACACTTAAAGCCTGTTTTTACAGGCAATACAGGCTTCCTCCTCATGGCAGCAAGAGACATTTGTCAGGGAGAAGTTATACAGTGCAGACTGGGCAGGGGTCATCCAGTAACGCCTTTGTAATGTAGAAGATCCAACCTTCCAGGGTGCATTTCCGGAGAGAATAGATGGGACAGGAAATGGGCCAGCCCACATGATAACATCAGTGTTAACTTTAGTAAAATGATATAAACACAGTATCCTGTTCATGGAAAGATGGAGGAAGAAATGCTATTCAGAATTCATATAACAGTAATTACACTTCCTCATTAAGGTTCACGTTACTGATTACATTTTCCAATTATATTAAACAAGCCAAGCTTTTGTAGTGCGTTTTAAAGGCACTGAGTGAAAGAACATTCAAGCTATAAAACTTCCTGTCAAATCATTAATGAATTAAAAAAAAAAATCATTTTTGAGATTCTTATATTCAAGTGAGTTTGTAATACTCTTTATTTACCTGTCTTAGCTGGAATAGCACAAATAAGTTTATAAATTTCTCCTGACATTTTTCAGCATAAAGGTTACAGATGGATTTTACTCTCAGTAAATTTAGCTGGCAGTCAGCTGATTCTCAGAACGTTACTAATTCTTAAATCCAGCCCTGAAATGCCCAGTATACATCTCAATTGTGCCTCTGTTTCTTATATTTGGGAATAATAACACATTGGCTCATATATAGATCTAGACCTGAAAATATAGCCTCCAAATAGCATTTCTTTTGCAACACCTGTAGCCTACAACTGATTTAACAAAAAAAGTGAATAGTTTCAGGAAAAAAAAAAATAGCAATCAGTAAATATGTTTTTAAGAGGGCAAAAACAAACAAAGTTAGTATTTAGGAGACTCAAATCCATAAAGAAACGTAAGTGGCTTGGGCTCCAAGTTTTCATATCACTGTGGAGTCAGTGTTAAGAGTCAATCTGAAGCAATGCTTATTAAATTTCCTGAAGGAAAAAAACTTCATGATGTATCAACTCCATATTAAATATTTGCAGTTTTAAACATTCTATCGGATTGAGAAGTTCACTATGTGAGGTGCAGTGTACAAAATTCAATGCTGCTGAAAAAACAAATTGTAGATGTGCTATTTTCCAACAATGTTGGCTGGTCTTGCTAAAGATAACGCTCCCTTCTACCTTGTCACTCTTACTTACAATAGTTAAATTAGTTTCATAGGCAGCTTGACTTCCTTCCTTTCTTCCTTGCTAAAATTAATTGCTCATGCCTGAATTTATCACCACCATCCTTCCTGAAACCAATGATGAAACCAATTGTTGTTCCAAATCATGAATTTTAATTCTCCATTTTTTGTCTTGATTCTCTTTTTACATTCCATTTGAGATCAAGATCAGGTCAGTCTGTGCCAGACTGCTCAAGAAGCTTCAAATACAACACTGTAACACCATGGAAAGCGCAGCAACAACAGCAAAGCAGCAGGGTCCCAAGCTGCAGCAAGTGAAGATTTGCTCAAATGCAACAGCCAGGGGCACAGAAATAAGGGAAAGAAGCTGCTTACCTTCTGAAGGCCCCAGGTATGCAAGGATCTCTAGCAAGACTCTTTTGCCACCACTGCCAACCCTTAAGTGAGGTCTGGGAAGGGGTGGATCCTGGCTTCACCATTTCTAGTCACTCAAGTACACTGCATGCACCTGAGTTCCCCTGGGTTGGCCCTGCCTTCCCACCAGGTGCTCAATCACTGCTTCAGGCCATGACTCAGCATTTCCACTACAAACACAAGCCTCTCTCAGCAGACTATGTATTTGTGCTTCTAGTCTGAGACACATTCTATACCTTATATCACGCTGTGTAATTTTTTTCCCTGAGTATGGAAGAGGGAATTCAAGAAAGTAATTGCAAAATCTGAGGCTGTGCAGCCTCACAAAGTAGACTTCATAGATTCCTCTAGAGAGGTACATCCAGTGCAAGAGTCTTGCAGGTAATATGAAGCATCCCCTGTAGAAACCATGTCCCCTTGGCCACAAAAGGAACACTGGGAATCAGTTCTGTGTATACAAAAAAGTATTTGCTACTAACCCTTTAAAGCTGGGTTCTCGAGAAAATAACAGGCAAGATTTTATTTTTTTTTTAACTTTTCTTTTTTTTTTTTTTCCCCTAAGTCCAGAAGTGAATTTAAGATATTCATGTCACATTCAAAACAATTCCATACAGGAAGTTTTAATTGCTAAATCCAGGTAAAATGGCCCACAGAAATATTACTTAAATGTACTTACATTTGCAAAGTTTAATCAGCATTGCAGGACACAAAACTTTCTACTTTGCATGAAAAGGAATAATTTCAAAAAATAAAAATAAAAAATCAGAAGCCATATTTAGGCTTAAAGATTAGAATACTAAACAAGGCAGTTTGGAGAAATACTTTCCTGAAGAAAAAAATCCAGTTTCTTAAGGAATTCTTTATTTACTATGTGAACTTCTTTCAAAGTATCAAATGAATTCTGTG